ATCCGCCCTAATAGGAAATCGATTGTGTAACATTATGAAGTACACAGATAATCTATATCCTAATTGATAGATTACTCCACAAGAGTAATAAATTGAATGGAAATTATTGATGTATTTCAAACTTTTGAGTATAATATTCTGATATTAGCTGGAGATGGTAGTGGTTTTTTCACAGTTCTGCCCTCTGCCGGTAACATTCTTCGCCACAACATCAAGGACGCGCGCAGAGACGATACGGTGAGACGGCGTGAGCGTGGACCAACAACGAATGCTATCCCGTCCCCCTTCCTCCACCCCTTATTTACTCGTAGCTGGACTACAAACCCATGCCAATGCCTGCTGTTCGCTCATTTTCTCTGACGATGGCCTCTGGTGCGAAGCCGGAAGCTCAGAATAATACAATTGCTGTCCCAGTAATCGCGCCTTTGTCTTCTTTACACTCTTCTATTTGTTGAAAACTCGTTTTGTGGCCGTCTGCTATGGTCCTGGCCTGGATAGAGCTCAACAGATTTTCCCTGCCCATGGATTTGCGGTAACTAAATACACCCTGCGAAAACCGACTGATAGAGGTCTTCATAAATCTTCATTTTGAGGCTACAACTAGCACATCGATAAGAAGTCATCAGTGTTTAATTCACACAGGTTTTGCACGCGCACGCTTCTAATTCATGTGGGTAAATGTGGGTCGGTTTCACGGTTAGCTGCTGAACGAGGTAAAACTAGGATAGAAACGGTCACTGCCTCAACCTTTTCTGTCTATGTTTACACATTCAACATTAAGCTCTTTAAAACACCCCTAATCAAGTTAAAGTAGACTAAGGTTAGCACTAGTCGATCGGGAACCTACGATTTCATAAGCTGCTTGCAGCTAGACAATGGTAGTGGATTGTGTGCTGCTAAAGCAAGTTGACAATGAACGAGGCATGGCTATTGGACGGCTACATAGCTGAGAGGACAGCCTGTGTTCTGGACAGTGACTACTGGTAGCAAGTTCTGTAAATTTGTGGCTAACTGCGCAGCCCACGTCTGCCTGAAGGCCAAGCTAGCTGGAATTCGCGGAGGTAAGACGTGTTGTGCGGATGTGCAAGCACTGAGAGTGGCGAAGCAGTAGCGGCAGCTGAATTTCACGGGAAACTTCGGACACTAAAAATAGCCGCCTATGTGCGTTCAGTTTGTGCATGTTAACTAGAATCGTCTTTATTCTTCATGAAAAAACTAGCATGTTTTTAAACAGCCCTGCGCCGAAAACCAGACTTTCCGTCATAGGTGAATCCAGGATAAGATATAGGTGCGTTAAATGTTATCGGAGTCAAAAGAGAGGTAGAGTCACTGGGATTTACATGGTTAGGATTACTTATATGGCCACCAAAGCAGGACAGGCAAAGATGGACGCACAGCAAACGTGACAGAGAGGATTTTACGCTAAATTTCAGGTAAAGTAAATATTCCTGCGCTAGGCTTAGAGTTAGGTTTAAGGTAAGCGTCAAGGTTGGTATTAAGGTGAGTCAGGGTTAAATGTAGGATTATGGTTAGGGATAATGTTAGGGTTAAGCTTAGGGCTACGGTTTAGATTTACAGAAGGGCTACTGTTGGAGGTAGGACACGGGAATATATAAACCATCTAAAATTTAGCGCAAAGCCACATCTACTACGTGTGCGGGCGTTCTTATTCCTGTGTCCTCTCTAGGTGGCCATATAAGTACTCCTTCTCCATAACCCTCTTTTCGCTGGCGCTTGGCGAAAGGACACCTGACAGGACATTTCTTGATCATAATCTACCGTTATTTGACCATACAGAAATTGCACGCATGGAGTACCTGAAATTCTATGTTGATTTCAGCTTTTACTTCCGCCCTTTATTGAATCTGGGGCTGTTAATGTAAGTATACAGTGTCCACTTATTATAAAGTTACCCATGCA